TTTAGGCAGTACATTTGAGGAAGATCAGAGAACTTCAGGGCAGTTCCATTTAGCTTTAGTACGTTTAGACTATCGGATTGGTTGGTCTGATTCGAGTGGACTGCTCGACAATTTTGTCGGATGCCAATTTTCGAATGCGTTCACACTTTTTCGACATGATGATTAGATTTAACGTTTGATTTGTCGAACGTAATAGGTTTGTGGTTAATTTTCATTCGATTCATTCAGCAAAATAGCCGCAAGTAAAATTTCATGGATTTGATTTGTGTTAAGATGACATACAGGAGCAAGGTAAACCGAATTCACCATTTAATGTGTATAATTTGACTGATTTTTATTTTCCAGTGTGTTTGGCCGTCAACAAAATAGTGTTTATATAATACGAAGTATGTATTAAATAAGAATAAGCATGCCAGACATCAAGTCTGACAGCCTACTAAGATTTTTTTAGAACTTCAGAGAGATTTGGAGATCTACTGGGAAATGTTTTGAGCTTCAAGGTAGTTCGTAGATCTTGAGAACAGAACTACAAAAGTTCAGAAAATTTTACAGAAATTTACAGAAATTCAGAAAAATTCACAAGCGAGATCGCAGATCTTCAGAAAAATGTTCAAAGAAATTTTCAAAACTACAAGCAAGCTTGAATATTTTCAGATCAATTTGTAAAAGTATAAGGGAAATTTTGATAAATATTCAGGGAACTTCGCAGACCTTCAGAAAATTCCAAGAATCTACAGTGAAATGTAAAGAACTTCACAGAAGTTTGGAGATCTACTGAAAAATTATTGGACATCAGAAAAGTTCGTAGATTTTCAGAACAAAGCTACAGAACTTTGGAAAAATCACAAGAATGGTCATAGATCTTCAGATAAATTTTTAGACCTTCAAGAAAGAGTGCAGATTTTCTGATGCATTTTTAGAATGTCAGTAATTTTAATGGATCTTCAGTGAAATTTGCAGAACTTCAAGGAAGTTGAGAGAAACATTTAAAACTTCAAGGAGCCTCAACTATTTGCAGATAAATTTTGAGAACTTTAGGTAATTTAGAAGATCTGCAGGGACATTTTCAGATGTTTAGGGTAGCCCGAGAGCCTACAGAGGAATTTACAAAACTTCAGACAAGTTTGCAGATCTACGGAGAAATGTATTGAGCCTCAAGGTAATTCGTAGATCTTGAGAATAAAACTACGGAGCTTCAGACAACTTTACAGAACTTTACAGGTAGGGGAAATGGATGTAATGTCGGCCTAAATGCCCCTCATTTGTGCCCATACATAAATTCAGCAATCGACTAAATTTTCAATGAAGACCAAAAATATCCATTAGTACAAATATATCCATTGATAAAATTGATAAATGGCAGATTTTTAGCGATATGCCCAATCTTAGATCCATAGGCCAACATTAGAGCCATTTTCCCTATTTGCAGAACTTCAGGAGAGAAGGTTTTTAGAGAAATTTGTAGAACTGCAAGGAATTTTGCAGATCTTCAGAGACATTCTGTGATTCAGTGTTTCTGAAAAGTACTTCAATTCCAAAAACAAATCTCAGCGAAGTACAAAAGTCCAATATTTTGCAGTACTCCATGAAAGTTGGAAATAGATCTGAAGAATTTCATAAAAGTCCGTAGATCTTAAGAGAAGTCTGTAGAACTTCAGGAAGTTCGGACATTTTTAGAAAAAAAAATGCAAAACTTCAGCAAAACTCACAGAACTTCTGGAAAGTTCGCCGATCTTTCGAAGTATTAACACAACTTCAGAGAATTTCAAATAATTTCAGATAATTTGTAGAGCTTTAAGGAATTTTAAAGAATTTCAGATAAATCTACAGAACTTTAACAATAAAATGTACAGAACTTTAGAGAAGATCTACTGAAAAATCTGCAGAATTTTATTGAGGTTCTTGGATTTTAAGTGAAATTACAGAACTTCTGGGATGTTCACTGATCTTTATAGATATTTGCACAACTTCAGAAAAAAATAGTAGATCTTCAGAGAACTTCCTTAAATGTCCGGGAAGCTCAAAAATTTCTAGATAATTTTTTTATACTTGAGGGAATTACGTAGATGTTCAGAGATATTGCAGATATTAATTGAATCATGATAATCTACAGAAAAAATTAAATACCTTTCGAGAAGTTCGTAGATTATTAGACATTTAGCGAACATCAGCAATAATTTTTTTTATATTTAAGGATCTTAAATCTGCATGGATTGAGGAATTAGCATGTACATTTTAGAGAAATTTGCAGAACTTCTAAATAACACACAGGACTTCTAAGAAATCTGCAGACCTTCCGAGGAGAAATTTGCAGATCTTCAGGAAAGTTTGTTGATCTTCAAAGATATTTTACCAGAAAACAGAAATAAAACTCCTGCGACATCAGAAGGTCTTCAGAGAAATATACAGAATTGAGATCTTAACAGAATTTTTTAGAACTCAAGGAATCATGTAGATCTCTAGAGACATTTTCCCACTAGCTTGTCGAAAATTGATATCGACATCCTGGCGAAGTTTTGAAATTCTTTTTCATCTTAATATCGCAGTTTTTGAAGGACGAAATTAGCCAGATCCCTGCCGATGTTCCTCCTGAGCAACCATTTCCTACTCCACAAAGTTCACCTTCTCCTTCTCATTTTATTTAAAATAATAAAAGCAAATACGCCTGCCAAAGCTAGAGCAATTTTCCGGTAATTCATTATGGAAGCATTTACTTTTGATTCCGGATACAATTTTGTTTTGAAATCTAAATTGGCAATTCTTTCGACATGTGCAAGCAGTGTCAACACCAGCAAACAAGAGGGTCCGACAAAGTGTGTCGAAAGTAAAATCAAGCAGATTTTTCATTATGGCGGCGGTCAAAATCAGACCAAGAAATCAGATTGTGTAAGCGGACCTTTAGAGAAATTATGTAAAATTTCGATAATTTCAGTAATGTTCCAAATATTTCAGGAAAATTGTGATTATTTCAAGAAATTTTTTGGAACTTTAGTGAGCTTGAGAGGACGTCTATGAAGGAACAAAAACTTCAACTACGTCCAAGGAAGTTTAGAGGTTTTAAGGAAAGTTTCATGAGCTTTGAAAACTTCAGGGAAATTACAGAAAGTTTAGGATCGATCAAAGAACTTCAAGGCAGTTCAAATAACATCAGGGAAAGTTAAGGAACTTTAAAAAAATGTTTGAGACGTTCAGGGAAGCCTAAAGAACTTTATTGAAGTTTAGAAATCTTTAAGGCATTTCTTATTGGTTCAGGGAAGCACCGGAAACTTTAGAAAGTTACAGGCTTTTAAGGAAGTTTAAAGATCTTGTAGAATTAGTGATTTGGTTTCGACTCAAGAAAAAGAGTTAATTTAAGTTTTGTCATCACCAACCTTTCGATCCAGGGCTTGCGATCTTCATAAGGGCTAGTTTTAGTTTTATCGGCCTCAAAACATCGTATCGTGTTTAACCCTATCACAATAGATCTAAGTACTGATCGCAGTGATCAAAATACCCAACACGGAAAAAACCCTAAACTGAAGAGCGAATATTCCATTAATAAGTATTTTGAAATTTTATGGCGAGCTCATTAAAGACAAGTTTTACCCGTATTCTAGTTTTAATTGTGTGTACATTCCTATATTAATTATGGGCGTTCCTTTAAGAGGGTGCATGGACTTAAGATGAGCGGAGGGACTCATAATTTCTCCTTGATTTGTTTTCCGTCGATCTTGTTTTCCGTGCTGAGCACCAATGCTACTGACGCCAGGGAGGCTGTGCCCACACCTGGACCCTACCTATCGACCCATCAACTCATGAACCGGGGACCAACGGCTTTACTTCCCTTCCGAAGGAAGGCGTGAACCGAGATGTTATGCCTCAGAACATCCCGGCGGTGCCTACTGGGATTGAACCCAGGCCTGCTGGAGTAAGAGGTAATCACGCTTACCACTACGCCACCGGCGTCGCTGGAGGGACTCATAATATTATGAAAAATTTCACAAATTTTTCATAATATTATGAATCCCTCCGCTCATCTCAAGTCCATGCGCCCTCTTAAAGGAGCACCCATAATTAATATAGGAATGTACACACAATTAAAACTAGAATACGGGTAAAACTTGTCTGCTCTCATCGTGCTCCTTCCTTTTGCCGGAAATCTTCAAAATCCTAGGGTATTAGGATATTGAGGTTTTCGAAAATACAACTCTCACCAAATGCTAAAATAACTGTTATTTGGAAATAAGCCATACCAACATAACATCTAGTTGGAACAACTTAAGCTCTTTTGGATTGTGCAACAAAGGAAAGTTTATTTTGAGCTCGTTAACTAACAATGCGAAATTTCTCATTAAAAAAATTAAAATTTGCATTCGATTCAAACAATGCACCATGCATTCCAGTTTACATCAGAACAGGCTACGTTTTCCTCCCAGTAAGGAGTATGCTTAAAGCTGAAGCAGCTCACTTCAAGGCTCGTTAAGATTCAGATTAATAAACGAAAGAGGAGAGCAAAAAAAATGCTGCATATGTGAATCATACAGCGAGAAGCAAATATTCATATTGCAGCAAAACTTTTTTTTTTGTGTTTCAAACGTATATGTAGCTAGGTATGTTGACGATGTGCTTTTCCTACTAGCACTCTCCATATACACATGCAGAAATATCTAGTATTGTAGCTTTTCACAATCCCTTCGAAAAATGGTGCTAGCGACGAGGCCGAAAGGCTGGGGTTTTCCCTGAGCTACATCGCTACGTCTCGTATATCCTTCACCGCAAGGGTTCCGACCGACTTCGGTTCACATCACACTTTCACACTACACTGTTTTTACGTTATATTTCTTTCTTCCCCCGACAGCTATACGCGAAAACCCTCAATACAAAAGTGTTGGTCGCCGTCGTCCACCATTACACCTTTCGCCATCCTCTCAGGACCAGCACCACACGGTATGAGGGAGGAGGACGGGTCTGATCGATTTGATTAACTTTTCCGTCACTTCTTTCTGGGATTTTCTTCTTGCCTTTTATCGAACGAAAATTCTTGTCGCACAGAAAAAAAATAGTCCTCCAGTCAACCACTTTGCAGTCTAGATCCTTCACTCAGTTATCTTTCCAACACATTGAACATCGAATCCCTCTGTTGCACATCCTTGCCGAGCACCCGTGTTGGCACTAACTTCCGAGTGTCCTTTCTCCTCCGGCTGGTATTCATAACGACGACACTATGAAGTTTTTTCTTAATTTTTCCAGCTGTGCCAGCTGAGTCTACAGACGAAAACTTGACTAATGGTTTCTGGTTCTCACACTTCTTTCCTGGAGAGAATCTGGTCACAGGTCAGATTTCCCGAAGAAACACACTAAAAATCAACCGCAATCAACAGCACTGTCCGCACAAAACACTCAGGAAACCGACCGAAAAAATGAGAATCCAGGATATGGCACTGAAAAATCGATATTTGAACTTTTTATTTAACATGCAGAAAGTCGCTGCTACTGCTGCTGCTGATCTAGCTCGGTCTCACTCTTTCGCACTACTACTGGCGATGTCTCGGGCACACTAGCCGTCATGCAAGCCGTGCCGACAACAACGACGGAACCATGCTTCCCTATACTACTCCACACTGCTGCTGCTGCTGCTGCTTCCTCTAATAACGTGTGTATGTCCTGGCCTCGAGTATGCCAACCAGCCATCAGCAGCCCTCGAGTATGTTGTACGTACCTACTGAGAACTGCTGAGGCGAGAGAGCATGAGTGCGAGAGACACTCTACAACAGTGAATCAGCAGGAGTATAGAGAGAGAAAAAGAGTTGATTGAAGAGGGTGCTCGACTCGAGGGGTGGGTGGCAAATGAAAATCTTCAGCGATGCCAGATTCGTGGAATTTCACAATGAAAAACATCCAGCGGTTCAATTCTAATACCAACCTTATCGAACCATACAGTTAGTTTTGATTACCGAATCTCGGTAGTATTAACACCGCCGGCTATGATCTCAGCAAGATAAACGTTTACTTGCTGAGATGCTGCTGCGAAACCATTTTCCCAGACTCTGCCACCAAGCGTCACTTTTGCTGAGAGTTTAGTAAATTATTATTGGTGTCAAAATGGCCTACATTCGGCCAACAAAACTAAGTGTACAGTAACCTCAACTATGCAGGATTATAAATCACTAACAACTTTTTTTTTTTATTAATACACAGTTCATTCATTGAAGAATGAAAGTGACGATTGACTCACAGATGGCGAGTGGGTGACGTTTTGATATCTGTCAAATTGCATGAGATTTTTTATTACATCATTATTTTTTTAATTGCGGATCTTAAAACTAGGTGTCGCATGACCAGTTTTGGCTTTGCTTTGCCATTAGCAAGAACGGGTTTTCAGAAGAATGATCAAAACATTCTTTTGTCCCAACGGTTTTTTTTATGATGGTGATGATGATGGTCCCACCTCTTACCCCTACAAAGGTTAGCAAAAAAACGAACTGGTTACATTTACTGCTTCACAGTGGAATAAAATTATTAAAAGTGAGACATGGCTATTTACGACGAAACTTTAGAGTGTAGCACTTATATGCAGAGATGCCAGATATTTTTTTCGTTACAGACATTTACAGCCTTTTTTCACAGATATTTACAGACTTTTATAACAAAGGGAAAATTTTAAAACTTATTTGGTTACACTGTTTTACATCTTTAATCAAATTACACGTGCGATGCATTTTACAACACGCATTAGAAATTCGTGCGTTTTCAAATCCACCACACGAACGAGATGTAACCAAAGATGAATACTAAGATGAAACTGTCGGAAGAAAAACTTCCTATTTTAGTGTCCTCTTTCACGGTCCCTTTCATCCAATGAATACCCCCCGTATTCAAGGTAATTTTGTGGTTTTCCTGCCCCCTCGGAAGAGATGAAGTTTTGCGCTCATTTTTATCAAAACAATCACACCAAAATCAAGGATGTCCCATTTTTTAGTAACTCGATTAACAACTAATCGATTTTTTTTTTGTTCGCTGTGCTGCCATTTTTTCACCAATTAGAGTGCAGCACATGTTTGAAACGATCAGTGATGATCCTGTGGAGATGTTAATGCTTATATCGGAATGTTATAATCGATTACAAATAGTTTACTTTTCGGTTCGTTAATCGATTAAACGATTATTCGAATGAAAATCGGCCATCACTAGATGAATGTGAAACGTCATTTCAAATATAAGGACCGTTCATAAATAATGATACAATTTGAAAGGGACCGGGGCTAATCACAAATAACGTCCCCACGGTAACTGAAATAAATACGAGTGTTCACCGGTTGATGTAACTGTTATAGACGGTCATATAGTTATAGACCTGTCAATGTTGTTGCCATGTTGTATCCAAAACGAACATTTTCCATACGATTTGATGGTTTGTTTGGATACGTCAACTCACGTTGGCCGGTCTATAATTTGACTGTCTATAGTCACTGTCACCGAAAAAGTGAATAAAACCGAGGGGGACGAAAGTCCCAGATTTATTCAAAATTCGCCCAAAATTACTCTAAAGTTTGATTTATGGATTTATAGTTGGATAAATCCATTTTATCAGATACATCACTTATATCGGGTCGCATCTCTATGAGTATCATGACAGGTAGCGATGAAAGCCGTTTGTTTATAAGAAAGGAACGTCGTGAAATCTCAACCAACAATTCAAAAAGGCAGATCAGCTTTTGTAATCAAATCTTGTAATGATCCTTTTTCGCAAATCACCATATCAAAAACACCGTCCGCTAGGGAAAATTCTCTCCTATCCGATTGTGGAATTGGTTTGCGTAAGCGTGCCAGATAGTTAGTTTGCTAGATAAGGTCATTACAAGTTTGCTGATCCACTCTTTAGTATTGTTGGTTGTTAAATTTAGCGCATTACACGCATTATAGGAAGTGCGGAAACGCATATGTCACGAATGGGAATTCTCCGATATCTCCATGGTCATTACTGATTTCCATCACTAACTCAACAGACTTCCCCAATATCAGGCATCCGGTGACGATCAGCATCGATGGCACCTATCGTTTGGTCACGTTTGGTCAAATCTCCGGGCAAATATCGTTGCTTCCAGAGTTTGAACATGCAACAATCACAAAATCAGGTGCTCAAGAAAGTGACAGTTCAAATCACAAAACACAGTAAAAACAACATCAGCATAATGCTCGATAATTCTACCACATCCAAGATTATCGATGAATAGTGAATGAAATCGGATAATATCGGCAGGTACTTGTTATTATTCATTACGACTCGAGATTATCTTAAAAAATCGAAATTTTTAAGCATATTTTATAGAAATCCATTGTATGAAATGTGAAGCAGATTACTGTCGTCTCCCTTTAATGAAACGGACAGTGTATTTCCATCCTATTCCATCTTTTTATTCGAGAACACCCAACCCAGGATCGAGGGGGACAACTCTATCTACGATGCAGGAAAGATTGTGGTTTGCTATGGCTAGCTGCGCGTACGCTGAGTAGATAGAAAGAGGATTGATGACGATTCTGAAGCTTTCCTGCAAAAAGATGATGCGCGATGTAAGTAGATGCGAGAAATGAAAGAAGATTTTTAGAAGATTGATTCGCTAGTGTGAGATTTTTCGAGCATCTAGAATTGAGATTTAGATGTGTCGCCCCCCCTCGCCCCGGATGCAGTTTTAGCAACAATCAATACGAAACTAACGATTTTAAATTGGCTCACCACTTTAGTAGCTTACATGAAAATAGTTTTCATGTAGCTTCCATTGGAAACGCAAATGATTTTCATCCATAAACAAAATTAATATAATTCATCTGGATTTCACATAACATTTATGCGATCACGTTAATTTTATATGATTTTTTATATGAATTTCATCGGCCTCATAATATTCATGTGATTTTGTGGTGGGATTTCTAGCTATGTGATCACATGAAAGCTATGTGAAATTCACATGGTTTTCATCCATTAGATATGTGATAAATTTTTTGAGTGTATTGTTCCCAAGCAAATGATTAACGTACCCTATTCTAGTCGAAATTCTAGTACTACGCAATGTTTGTTTTGATTCACTATGAAAGTTTGACAGATAAAATGAGGGGTTATTGGTTTTTCCTATGTTTCGAGGGGTGAATCGATTAGCTTGGGGCCAAAGAGAGTACCAGAGCTGAGCCAAAAAGTTGAGCACGTTATTTCGGGACCTTCTAGTCTTAGAGATACCTCTATGCTTTTAGTGCTGAACGAAGCAGCCATTTTCGTCGTTTTGTACCTCTGAATAAGAGTCGTAAAAATATGGAAAAAACGAGAAAAATCAAAGGAAACCCGAGAGAAAAATTCATAACGAACTTTTTCAGGTAAGCTATAAGTTGAGGAAAATCAATACAAATACTTGCACGAATCATTATGTTGAGTTCCATGGGATTTGAGGTATCACACGATGCATTTCACTGCTGGCGTGCAAAAGGACCAGTACTAAGTAACTAACGGATTTCCACACTACATAGCATATAAGATCGACTCAAATTTAAGTTTAATTTATTCTAGACTCTCATAAATCTTTATGACAAAAATCGACGAAAAATTTATTCATTTTAGAAGTATACATTCAAAGAATAAATCACATATCCAATGGAAAATATTCATTAGAATTTCATATCATTTTCGTGTGATATCATAATTGGGAATTGCATCAAAAAAATCACATGAACCTTATGTGTCAAATAAAATTTAAGTGATTTATCATACAGAACTCACATGAATGTTATGTGAGATTCAGATAGATATCATTGGTTTTGTTAATGGAAAAATATTATGTGCATTCCCAATAGAAACTACATGAAAACTTTTTTCCGTGTACTAATTTCATATTTACACCGAGATGTTGCTCATATTAGAAAACAAATTCCTGTCAAAGCTCGGGAAGTTTTTCTCAGTCTATGAGTTAACTACGTTTTCAAGAATATGAGTGAACTAATCTCATATTTGAGTCGACCTCATTTGTCTTGTAATCGTAGTTTATCTTTTTATTAATTGCTTTTAATGTATACGGCGTAAATGGATGCATTCCCAACTCCAATGAAGTTCAATTAGATAAAAGCAGGTCATTTTTGTTCGAACATGACTTTCACAGACATTTCAAATTTCGCATCTATTTTATGATCCCCCGTCCCCTTTCGTCACACGCAAATTTTCTGCTAAATTTATACAGCCCAATTACAGACATTTCTGAAATTCACAGACATTTTTCGCAGACTTCTGATTAAAAAATCTGGCATATCTTCTTGTATGTGTCTCCTGGAGTTGAATTCTTTTTTATTTAATTTTGTATTGCAGCAATCATTTCTTGGTAATTTTTTTTTTCAAACTTTCTTTTATTTTAACACATTAAACTGAATAAACTAAATCTGTTTATGCCTCCTCATACTTGTAATTTTTTTCTTTGTTGGGGACATATTATTACCGTGACCATTACTTTGATCTATTGTGATGTATCCTCTTTTTAGTTTATGCCATGCCGTAGTGGTAAGCCACTCTTTATGTGAGTAGCCACCACTAGGGGCTGTTCATTAACTACGTAGACAGTTTTTTTGGGATTATTGACCCCCCCCCCCCCTGCGTAGACAATTGTCCATAAATATTTTTTTTTCAATTTGTATGGGCCGTGGATTATTCCTACCCCCCCCCTCCCTAACCTAACCTGTCTACGTAGTTTATGGA